CCGGGAGTCACATCTTTCGGAATTTACTTGCATCGCTTTGTAAACTTGTACCGCTTCTTCCGTAAGGTCACTACTTATGCAACTTTAGCGCGATAAAAATTTCCACTGTTGATGACGTAGCTCAACGCAGATCCCAACCTCGCTCCCAGGTTCTCTCTCCTCTGCCTCTCTTGTCGTTGACAAGGACAGAGAACCTGGGAACGAGGTTGCGCAGATCCGTGCAGCGTCAAACCAACCAATCAGAGACGCGACACGGATAAAATAAGATTACTTCTTTTAATTTTTACCCCTGTTACCAAGCTTTCAAGTGTGCCCAAGGCAGTAGCTAACTGGTGCAAACATAGTAAATAGAGGAGAATGGTTTTGAAGCTTGCAAAACTTCAGAGGAAACAGAGATGAAAAGATTTATGTTGCAAGGTCCACGACCGTGCCCAAATCTTTATTTTACGCTGATACACTATGCATGAATTATGTAACCAAAACGTTTTTATTGGTTAGTTCCTCACACAGATGCAAACACACAACGGTGCACAGCCAAGGCCAAAAACATAAACAAAAACATGCAACAAAGGACTTTGTCGTGGATGATATAGATGTATATTCCCCTCTAAAAACCATGGTAATGAAAACAGCATGCCAACTCACCTTCCATGGCTTCTGGTGATACTATGTGTGTTGCTATAGGTGAAGGGTCAACATACTGCATCCCGAGTCGTGGGCCACTTGTTGCCATGCCAACACCAAGGCCTGAGGAAATCAACCAATTGGTCAGTCAGTTGATCAATCTATTACCATGGTTACCTGGTGCTATGGCAAGCTATCACTGTGGTTACCATGTTGAATGGAAAACTTAAATTGTAATATTTACATGTAAACTTTGTATCACTATGGTTGCCTGGCAGTATGGTAAACCATTTCCATGGTCACCTGGTGGTACAGTGAACTGTTAATATGGTTACCTAATGATGTGGAAACTGTTGCTATGTTAGCTTGGTGGAATTGTAAATAAATCAACTGTTGCTACATGGTTACCTGGTGGTATGGTAAACTGTTCAGTTGGAGGTGCTGTTTGGACTCCGACGTCACACCTGTACCTGTTACCACGGTCTGTGTTCTGACAAAAAGATGAGGTGAGTGAGTGAAAAGTCGAGTAGCACAAATTATGAGCAAAAGTTCCAAGATGGTATGAGGGGAGATAAATCTATTTTTCCTTTGGCTATGTNCTGAGGAAATCAACCAATCGGTCAATCAGTTGATCAATCTATTACCATGCTTACCTGGTGCTATGGCAAGCTATCACTACATGGCTACCATGTTGTGTGGAAAACTTATTGTACTATTTACAAAGTCATGTAAACTTTGTATCACTATGGTTCCTGGCAGTATGGTAAACCATTTCCATGGTCGCCTGGTGGTACAGTGAACTGTTACTATGGTTACCTGATGATGTGGAAACTTTTGCTATGTTAGCTTGGTGGAATCGTAAATAAATCAAATGTTGCTACATGGTTACCTGGTGGTATGGTAAACAGTTCAGTTGGAGGTGCTGTTTGGACTCCAATGTCACACCTGTACCTGTTACTGCTGTCTGTGTTCTGACAAAAAGATGGGGTGAGTGAGCGAAAAGTTGAGCAGCACAAATTATGAGCAAAAGTTCCAAGATGGTATGAGGGGAGATAAATTTATTTTTCCTTCGGCTACATTGCTTGCTGGAAAGCGCAGTGTAGTGCACTCAACTCCAGATCAAGTGGTCCACATTCAAGCCCTGGCCAGGGATATTGTGTTGTGTTCTTGNATAAATTTATTTTTCCTTCGGCTACATTGCTTGCTGGAAAGCGCAGTGTAGTGCACTCAACTCCAGATCAAGTGGTCCACATTCAAGCCCTGGCCAGGGATATTGTGTTGTGTTCTTGGGCAAGACACAGAGCCTCTCTCCACCCAGGTGTATAGATGGGTATGCTGGGGGGTAACCCAGCGATGGACTTGCATCCCATCACATTCCAGCCTCCAGGCTGGTATACATATGCAGACTTTGCATATGTTGCTTGCCACTCAACTTTATGCTTGCTTAACTGTCTAAAATGGGACTAACCAAAGGGGAATTGCTAGCATTCTAGGTTGAGTCAATATTCATTTCGATTTAACCAATCAGCACTTTGCACATCAACAATTTATGAAAGGGATTCATCAAAAAGTCTGAATCCTGAATATATGTGCATCATTAATAAAATTTATTATTGGAACAATAATAGGGGTTGTATCGAAACTGTTAAGAGTTACAGTATATGTAAATTCTAGGTGCTTACACTGACTTTCAGGATAATCCATATGGAAATTGTAGACTTAACATCCAGATCAATCCATAGATACTTCAGTCTTTTTCAAAAGGAAAATGTCAGAAATTTCCTTACCATTTCCTCAATTTCCTAGTTTCCAGTCACTCATTATTGGACAACAAGAAGGGAAAACTGAATTTTAAATGGTAAGCACCATCTCATTTGGTTGATTTGTTGATTTTGGGAAAAAGACTCTTACCAATATTCAATGGTCATCTCAAACAGTTCTCTCTCAGTGACAAATGATAAGCACGCTCTAAGAAGCAATTCTGTTATGAGACAGCTCAATGAGCTATCATACTTAATACCATGTCATAGAAAATACAGCCAATCAGAATACAGGAAAGCTGTTGTATATTCGATGGTATTACATCCANCTTGCCACTCAACTTTATGCTTGCTTAATTGCCTAAAATGGGACTGACCAAAGGGGAATTGCTAGCATTCTAGGTTGAGTCAATGTTCATTTCGATTTAACCAATCAGCACTTTGCACATCTATTGTAGACTTAACTTCCAGATCAATCCATAGGTACTCCAGTCTTTTTTGAAAGGAAAATGTCAGAAATTTCCTTATGGTACCATTTCCTCAATTTCCTAGTTTCCGCTCACTCATTATTGGAAAACAAGAAGGGAAAACTGAATTTTAAATGGTAAGCACCATCTCATTTGGTTGATTTGTTGATTTTGGGAAAAAGACTCTTACCAATATTCAATGGTCATCTCAAACAGTTCTCTCTCAGTGACAAATGATAAGCACGCTCTAAGAAGCAATTCTGTTATGAGACAGCTTAATGAGCTATCATACTTTAATAATACCATGTCATAGAAAATACGGCCAATCAGAATACAGGAAAGCTGTTGTATATTCGATGGTATTACATCCAACCTTCCCATCATGCACCAGGCGTACGTCGCATTGATTGTGTTGACCACTGTATCTTCTATGGCATGGTATAAAATGGTCATGCAATGCTCTCTCATGGTATACCATAGAATATAATATATAGGCTTGTGTGTTACCCAGAAAAATACAAGTGGCTCATGGGATATTCCATGGTCTACCACTCAAAAGCATTGCATAACTAATATATACCAGCTGGCATTGTTACCACAGGCCCATTGAGTGGCATTGGCATGAAAAAATTCAATACCTTGCTCCTGCTGTAATCAGAATTGCTTCTCCTTGACCTTGACCTGTCACTTGATTTTGACCTTTTGGTTGACCTTGAACTTTGAGATGACCTTGAACTTCGTGAAGATCTTGAACTTTGTGATGACCTCGAACTTCTAGATGACCTGGAAGATCTCGATGACCTTGAACTTTTTTGTTCACTGTAAGTCTGAGAAATTGACCTATCACTGCGGGTTTTAATCTCACTTCCAGAGGAAAAGTCAGTTGTGTAATCTTGTTGTGATTTTGTAGGACTTTTTTCGTGTTTGCTTGTGTGGTTTTCAGCGTCACTAACAGACCTTGGAGGGGATTTATTATCATCTGAAAGGCTCCTTTGTCTGCTTGTGGTATTTTTATTATTTGCGACAACACCTTCTTCAGCAACATCCTCCTCTATCTCCTCCTCCACTTCATCTTCTGTCAATACTTCAGCAGGTTCCGACAAATCATTGATTACTGACCTGACGTCTTTATCAGAAACAGTCAAGCTCTTCAGTTTGTCGTCCAGTTTGTTATTTGCTAATATATTGTCTGATAATTCTTCTTCATTAAAAGCAAATTCAGCCATTTGCAATCCTTTCATTGGGTTTATTGAGCTTTCAGAGGAGTCACCGTTTGTTGGTGATGGTGATCGCGAGAACATCTGAAGATTAACCTTGAAATCATCATCATCATCATCATCAACATGTGCCTTTTCTGATGGAAGCCTTTCACCTAGAAAGAGCAAAATTAATAATCTGACAGTAAACTTATATTTATTGACTGTTAAATATATGCACGACCAACTAATATTTCCCCTTGCAATGGACCTTAAGTTCAATGACTTGTTGGATAATAATGTCTACCAGTTAGTTGTTTCATCACTGTTATTGCCCACCATCATGGATCAGTCTAAGTCAGTTTTCTTTTCTTTCCAGTTAAGCCTAATTGGCAGCAATCTGATGTCATCAAAATAATGTTGTTTAGAGACTGGGAACAAGGTTGGTTTCTTAGTAACGAAGCCCATTTGTTGCTCAAACATTGCTTTACATAAACGACCTTGTTGTTGTTTTTTGTCTTAAAATAATTCTGTAGAACAAACACAGAAGCTGAAGAAGAGAGCTAAAGTAGAAAGAACCAAATGAACGAAGATGACGTCTGCGGAGAACTGAACGAGAGATCAAAGCGGCTTTATAAGCTTAAAATTCGGACATCTTACCTAATTCTTCATCCTCTATGCTAGAAATTGAAATATCTGGAGTTTTGTCTTCCTCATCACGGACAATTCGATCGAAACTGTCTCCTCTCCAAAGAGATTTGATTCCAGACTTTTTCTTCAAAGTTTCTAGGTACTCTTCCAGCTCATTAGCACTTGTTTCTTCCCCAATAATACTGCTCTTTCGCGTCGAATGTGCCGATGAACCCTGTGATACTCGCCTTGCTTTCTCAACGGAATTCTTCCACTTTGCTTTTTTTGAAGACATCTTTGCATGTCAGAAGTAAAAATTCTAGTAACTTATTACTTCAGTTGTAAACACAACCACGATATTTGTCAACGGCCGGTCCGGAAATTCGAAACAAACAGTAGGGAATCGATAATATACCGGAAGTGCTCGGATTACTATCGGAAAAGCGCGAAAGAACAGGAGGAATGGCTACCAAGCTCAAAAACATCGTGGAGGGAAAAAGTTCACAAAAGTGAAAACGAAAATAGCTAGGTTACAGATAGCTTCACTGTGTTTGAAGTATTTTACTCATCGCTATCTTCTCTACGACGAGCATTTTAACGAGAGAGAGCAGGACAGCAAACCCCAATTCAACCACAGGTGATGTCGATGGATCGATTATCTGTGTTTCCTTCGCTGTCTTGAACTTTTTCCTAACTCGTAAAATCGCGTTATAATCATGCGAACTATTTCACCAGCCCCTCTTGAGGAACTTTGCATAAATTATATCTGTGCAAACCTTGAGGATTTGTGTTACGAAAATATCACTGATATTTGTGGATTTTCACTTGAAAGTCTCAGCTTCAAGTCTCCATTGCTTTTGCACGAACAACTCACAGAAAATATCATCAACATCCTTTCCTACAATGGAAAACTGACAACGAGGACAGCGTCATTATTTACCGACCCCGAGACGTGTCGTATCAAAAATTTCTTTTTAAGGAATTGCCAAGTTGATGCTAGAATTCTTAAACTTCTCTTTCGTGTGCACAGAATAGTAAAGTTGGACTTGAGTGGAACTACAATGATGTCGTCACCGTTATTATTTGAACTGCTCGATGAAATGTCATCAACAGTTAGGGAACTCAATTTGAGTAACACACCCTTTAATATCCTGGACTTTTCTACTGTCCAGTCACTGAAATGCTTGACGCACTTAGACATAAGTAACACACCTGTTGATGACAGAGCAATGTTTACGGCATCACAGCATTTAGATTGTTTAGAATGCGTAAACGTTTCCAACACTGTAATAAGTGAGACTACCTCGTTTGGAAACTTGAAAGGCCAGCTTAAGGTATTACTGGCATACGACACACCCCTTTCCAGGGGAAATCCAGTCGATTTTAGGAACTTTGGGTCTTTACAGAAGCTTGACATTTCCAGACACCCAGGGAATATGTCTTGGCCTTCAGATGCTATAAATCTGCAAGAAATGTTTGCAGACCACGAAATGATGCCTGACTTGGTCTACCTGGATGTTTCTGGTTTTCTTGATGTCAAAGAATGCGATGAGTCTTTACAATCATTCCTTAGTTACCACCCTAAACTCCAGTTTCTTGGGCTGTTTATGACAGAGTGGTCTTCACATGCAATTATAAAGAGCATATCTGCTTGTGTTGAGGTAGGTCAGTTATCTACATGAGACCCTCCCACTTTCCAGTATAGAAAAAGTGTTCTTCATAAATTAATATGAAATTAATCAATTTTATGTTTTTAGTCAACATTTTCAAAACATGTCATAACTTTTTTCACTCTGAAAGAGCCCGGCCTCCATCCCAGATCACAAACCTAATAAACCTCAGACATATAATTAAAATTTCTTCCAGTAACTAAGATCTTCAGGGTTTGCTACTGTATTCCAAAAAGGAGCTTTAACTTCAGGTTTTGCTCTGAGAGAAAGATACATATATTAATTTCTTAGAGATATAAGTGCTCTATCAGAGAGATTGTTTTGAATGTTATCTGGCCTATACTAGTATCACCTAACTAGTGGACTAATGCAAATCCTGCATTTTAATTGGCTACGCTACTAGAGGACTATTGGTAATAGTCCTTGAGTAGCGAAATTGGTGCAAGCGAGCGTGACGCTTTTTTTCATTTTATTCCCAAATAAATATTTTATCAAACTTGCATTTGCTTTAACTTTATCATTGCCTTTTCTGTCCAACTAGTTGGGTGATACTAAAACAATTAGACCCTTCGCACTCAAGGGCCACAGGTCAATAGCCCATTTGGCTTCGCCTCATGGGCCATTGACCCATAGCCTGCAAGGGCTACGGGTCTAATTGTTAATTAGTACAGTGTACTCAGAGACTTGTGATTTATTTCTCATTTTCTGTCTTGTTAGTAGGCTGTATTCTTGTAGGAAAGTAATTTTTTTCATTTGAAAGATTCCTGTCAAACTTTCTCCCTTCTCCCCTCGCACCTCAAAAAAATGCCCCTAACCCTCAAAAATATTAGCTTTAACAAATACCAGCCATACTGAGGTAGGTAAAGTCTGCATA